TGTAATTGTATTCATAAAGTGGTTGGCTGACATTGATTGGAGCCCTTCAGTAGTTGATGCCAGGGGAGGTGGGGAAATCCTAAGAGAACCTAGGAAGTATTTTAGTGCGGTCGTTTCACTGTTGAGCAGGTATCGGGAGGATATATTTGAGTTGGTCTTAGAGGACCTGAGATGATTCTTGAGGAAAGTATGGATAGGTGTGGAAGGTAGTATTGGGCTCGTACTACTGGAAGCACATGATCCATACTTGAATCGATGAGAGTTTCATGGATTCTAAGGGCTGGTCGGGAGAGATAGCATGGTTTGATACCATGATTCATGGCAGTAGTTCCGTATCTGTCGATCTTGTTGTAGGGTTGCTCTAGTCTGTGCATTCGATTCGCAGGGCTCAAGAAGGAAACAATTGTTATGATCGGCTAGAGGACTGCAGCTGGAAGTGAGTGGTTGATTGATGGTTTCGAATGTCGCCATCTGTGGCAGGGGTGATGCCCTTTCATTTCTCCGAGTTTAGAGAATGAGTGAGCAGGCCTGCGACTTTTAGAGTTAGTATGTAAACCCATCATGGGGTCTGTTGGTTGCGGTGTTTGGCGACAATATGCCAGCGCAGGAGTGCGCTGGTGGATTGATGTGTTATGGATGCTTTGTGATGTGATCAAGGGTTTGTGTTCTTGGGATATAGGCAGGTCAGGTACCGGATTGGGGGTTGGGATTGCAGGCTAGGAGGGCATGTTTTGGATCGTTAGTCGGTGTCGGCTTATGCTCTTGCAAGGAATCCTTAATGTTAAAGTAGCCATGATTGGGGAAATTTCAGAGATCTTTAGCTAAAATTCAGGAATTCTCTTGGGATTTGTTTGATCCTTATCTAGAAGACCATCATGCGTGTGTTATTCATTCCAAGGTCAGGGATGGTTGTACATGGTTAAGCCGATTTGAGTTATGGTTTGGTTTTAACACAAGTAGGTGGTAGTTTGAATCCTAAGTAGGGGAGAACTGGGTATTCTTCTTGGAGGATCATCGATCTGTTCAGGTTCGTAGTATTGAGAGAATGGTTCCTAGGGATCTATGATGCGAGTATGTGGGATCTCGGTTCATGATTTGGTGAAGGCAGGGGTATATAATAGGTGGCAATCGGATGTATGTGTTCAGGAGACACATGAGTTGTCCCTCAGCAGGAAGTGGTTGGTCAAGGAGCTCGTTGCAGCTATCGGTTTCTTGTGGGGGTGCTAAAGAACAGATAAGGAGCCGTTGGGACCACTTAGGTTGAGTATTGGTTGCGGAGGGAATTTGTCTGCTCGTTCAATGGATTTCTAGTTATAGTCTAGCTTATTCAGAGGTCGATCAAGGAATCAGTTTTAGAATTGGGTGCGATAAGCTCCGCGCGGGTTTTAGATCATTTGATCTAATGTTAATGCGTACTCGATTTCTGTTCGCATCGTTTGTCATTCATCGAAGGTTCTTCGAAAGTTTCAAGTTGTGACATTTGAAGTTCAATGGATGTGTCAACCTATCATCAAGTTCAGTGTGTTTTATGTGCCTTTGGTCTTTGGGTATGTTTACCCTCAATGATGGTGGTGTGGAGTTTTGGTTCATAGCCAGCTCAGGTTTTGGTAGCATTCAGGATCATCTTGGAAGTCTTCATGATATGGTTGTGTATTTGTGGAATCTGTTCAGTCTCAACCAAGGTATGGGGTCATGTTCCGATCATTCATGGGGATATCTTATGTTAGTGATTGAGGTTTTTCGTTCGATTGAACTCGAGTATTTCTCTCATTTTTGGATGATGTTATGGGTTCTCTATGGATCTGCATTGGGGTAATTCATTATATGCATGGTTCTCTTGGGTTATGGCCTTTGAATTGGATCAAGAATACGACCGTTTATCCTATTATCGAGTCGTGTACGGCCATGATTTCGTCGTATTTTGCATTGATAGCAGTGTGTTCTGTGAAATAAATTGTGTGTGGTAAGACCATGGGCGGTGATCATGGCAGGATAGACGTGTCGTAAGATTACAGGGTGGCCATAGCATTCACTGGATTGACAGATAGTATGGAAGTGTTGTAAGTTTGTTATGGGATCCTAACATTCACCAGATTGAGGTAGACCATCATTGGGGTTGTCGTGAGTATAAAGGAGGATCAGCTCGTGCCTTGGGCAAGGCGGACAGTGGGGTCGGAGAGCATATCTCTGTTATGGGAATAGGACCATTGGAGTCTGAGACGGGTTGGGCCTGTGTAGCTCTCGTTAGGTGAGACCCGTGGGCAAGGCCCATATGATTATGGCAATGCAGGTGAGACCTGGTAGAGACTTGTTAGGTCAAGGAATTGGATTATGGTTTTAGTAGGATGATTATGTGGCCAGGGAGTGGCATAGAGTGGTGCATAGGCTAGAATAGACTTATATGTTGGACTCTCATGAACATGTTGGCTAGACCAGGTGCGAGACTGGCAGTCTCAGCGGTGTTTTGGGGATTTTATATCCCGGTTTAGGGAATGGTTGTTGTGAATTAGAATATTTCGGGTGAAACACAAGTGTAAATCCTTAGATCTTAGGTTATGGGTTATGTACCAAGTTGGCTCTTATTTGAGATTCGCATTGGGAATCGTTAGTGTATAAGTGCAAAGTTTGTATCTCAGCAAGTTATGGATTTAGGAATCTGTATGTCGGGTTACCAGTTGGAAGGTTCAGGGTCAAAAGGATGTTTCAGTTCTGATGGTAGGGAGTGGCATAGAGTGGTGCATAGGCTAGAATAGACTTATCTGTTGGACTCTCATGAACATGTTGCTAGACCAGGTGCGAGATTGGCAGTCTCAGCGGTGTTTTGGGGATTTTATATCCCGGTTTAGGGAATGGTTGTTGTGAATTAGAAGATTTCGGGTGAAACGCAAGTGTAAATCCTTAGATCTTAGGTTATGGGTTATGTACCAAGTTGGCTCTTATTTGAGATTCGCATTGGGAATCGTTAGTGTATAAGTGCAAAGTTTGTATCTCAGCAAGTTATGGATTTAGGAATCTGTATGTCGGGTTACCAGTTGGAAGGTTCAGGGTCAAAAGGATGTTTCAGTTCTGATGGTATGAGGAGACCCTTGTGATTGTGTTTCGGAATGGTTTTACCTGTGCAGAGGTTAGGCAAGTTGGATCGAAAATTATGGGTTCAGTGATTTGGTCAACACTATAAGGTTTTGTTCGGAACGTTGGTTCTCAGGAGGGTGGTAAGGAGTGATTTCGAGGACGAAATCTAATTTAAGTGGAGGAGAGTTGTAACGCCCTGTTCCAAATCGTTTCCTATGTGGGGGTGGTGACCTGAATACGGGGTATCATCAGGCTTAGGGCCTTTTATGAAAAGAGATTTAGACCCATTTGGGTGTAGGTAATGTAATTTGGATGATCCGGGAGTTCGGTCTGTGTTTTGGCACCAAGGAGTTTCGACAAAGTGTCAGTTCGGGCTTTTATGAATTTTGGATTTTTTTTTTTTGGAACTTTTTAAGGAAAGGATGAGCTGATAGAAGTGTAGAGATTCTCGTTACCTTTCTTGAAAGTTTGTGACCTTTTTATGGATAAAGTTGGAAACTTTATCCATCTAAACATCATTTTGATTCAGATCTGAAAGTTGGAGACTTCTACTTAATGGATTAAGTTGAAAAAGAGGAACTTTTAGGTCCCTTTGAGACTTAAAGACTAGATCTTGTTTGTTGGGACCATTCTGATGGATAAAATTGGAAACTTTATCCATTATAAAGCTATTATGAACTATAAAAATGTGATCTTGGCCCTTCTATCCCTTCCATGCAAGAGTTATGATGTCTTATTGGGTTAAGAACTAAGCGTTTTGGACATTAAGCACTTTATGGCCATGCAAAGTCATAAATTTGGAAACTTTATGACTTAGGACATCATTTTGGGCTTGGATCTGAGTTTTGGATGTAATAAATTAATGGAATAAGCTCTTAATGGAGTTTTGGGACTGGGTTCAGTATGTTGGACGTACCTGGTGGTACGCCCAGCGTACGCGGTCAGTGCCCTGCTATTGGTCAATATTAGAGTATGTTGGGCGTACTCTCTTGGTACGCAGGGTGTACTCCGCTGGGAAGAAATATTGAATTTTTGACCTTGACCATTAACTTTGAATTTGACCAGGGTTGACCAAGTTTGAACTAACGTTATTTTGGGTTATCGGGTTAAATATTGATTAAGATTGTATTTATTGTTAGTTGGCGCGAGGTTATCTGGTTCGGCGGTCCGAGCAGTTATTTGATTATCAGCGGATTGAGGCGAGTCTTCCTCACTATACTTAGGGGTCGAAGGCACCAAGGCCGGCCCATTGGATTAGATATCCTGATATGTCACTACTAGAAAAACAGCCTTTTACGACACGCAAATGCGCGTCAAGGAAGGCCCTGTCATAACGAGAGATAACGAGAAACGACGCGCTTTTGCGCGTCGTCTATTTACGACACGCATTTACGACGCGCTCTTACGACACGCAATACGTGTCAAGGAAGGCCCTGTCATAAAGAAGACGACACGCATTTGCGTGTCGTAACCTTATGACGCACATTTACGACGCGCATTGCGTATCATTAAAGCCCCTGTCATAAAGAAAGACGACACACGTTTTTGCGTGTCATAAAGTTAAATGTTTTAAAAATTATATATTTTGATAGGTTTACTAATTTTCAAATTAAATAATACATTAAAAATCTCATAATACAAAATAAAATACCATAAATAACAAAGATAATTCATTTCACTAATATGTCAAATACAAATAATTATTCCAATAGTGAGTAATTGTTATAAAAAAAATGAACTCAAGAGAAGCATAATTTATATACAATTGCATTATCTAGCTTACTATGTGCCAACAACTCTCTGTGTGTTTGCTTTTGCTTGAGTCTCGTTTCCTCCAAAACTTCTAGATACAGTGGCTTGCTTCTTCCTCATTACTATTGATGTTTTTGAGATGATTTCCTCAACTTTGTAAAGCTGAATTGAGCCCCTTAACCTTCCCTTCTATCCCCCTTGTATTCTATCTTCAGTTCTCGTGGATCTTCTTTTCGAATTTGAAGTTTTTTAAGGAGTTTAGGGTCATTACAGGCACCAACTAACTGTAAGCAGAACCGAATAACATTAGATGCTAATGTAATTAATTATGTTGCTAAGGATAAGGGTGGGGCTACTAGAAAGACTTATTTATATTCAGCTAGAACATAAGTATCTTTATGAATCTTAACTAACATGAGAACAAAATGCTTATGGATGTTAATACAGAATAGTTCAGGTGCACAACCGTAAATAAACAATTAAATACTACCTGTGGGTTTGATGTTAGAACAAGGTTGCAAATGCAGCTGTAAACATGCATGAATTATAAACATCATGTAATGAAACTAATTATATTTTACTCTAAATTCAATAAAACATTACAATTATTCATTTTTTAAAGTCTCAAATCTTTAATCTTGTAATTCATTCCACTTCCATTTGTAGTATGATGAATCTGAACGCAGAAGAGAAATGACAAAGAGTTAGAGAGATATACTCATTATTATGAACGTTGGGCTACTAACCAATCGGTATACAAGGGCATAATTGTAATTTTCTATATATTTGTAAATTTATGTTTCTGATATATAATACTTTGTTTCTTTTTTTCACAATAACAGTCGAGGCAAAAAGAACTTGCGGATTTACTGCAGATACAAACAGTTCATGTAAGTTAGAATTCCAATATTTTTTTTGGTAATATTATATTAAAAACTAAAAAGTCTTTTTTTAGTATTTTATTAGGTTTATTAATATCTGGTAAAATTTCAGCTTGCAAAACTCAAACTTAGTGAGCAGGGGCGTATCCACCATATGCTTAGGTAGGTCCTAGGTCCTACCTAAGTTTTCAATTTTATTTACGATGTATATAGTAGAAAAATTAGGAACTACCTTAGAAAAAATAGAAGAACTACCTTGAGTTTGTTTTTTTTTTAATTTCTTAAAAAACCATTTTAAAAAGAGAAATATAATTTATTAGGGGCAATTTGTTATTTTAAATTATGAGATTGATAACAAAAAGTTAACCACTCTTAATCGGCACTCTCAAAATATTAATAAATAAATAAGTTGTTCTAATAAAATGAAAGCCCACATGCCAAAGACTTTCACTCTCCGTTCGCCGCTTTATCAATGGACTAATAATCAACTATTTTTTCGTTAAACTGTACGTATTTTTCAGTTATATTTCAATCGATTTTTTAGAATTTTTAATCGGTGGCACAAGGTACATGAGCCGATTGAACTGGTTCAGTTCTTTTAAGGTACATGAGCCGACCCCACCCGACCCCAAAAGTGTTGTTGGTTTTTTTTATTGGCGTCACTTAATTTAGGAACCACGTGATTTTTTGTTCTAGATTCGCCACTGTTAGTGAGAGGCAATGCCAACCCAAGACACAGTTGAAATTTATTCTAGAAGCTTGGTTGCATGTATATGCTTACTTACTTATATTTAAATTTTAATATATATTTTTTTATTCTAAATGATTTATTGTTTTAAATGATGGTTTTCTATTGCAGATAGTTGAATGTAGGCGTGTGTTAAAATGGACATATGCATATGGGTATTACCTACCTGAGCAAAAAGTAGCAAAAAGACAGTTTTTTGAGTATCTACAAGGTATGTATCTGTGTATGTGTCTCAAAAAAAATTAAGTGGTAAATGACCATATTACCCTCGCAGGTGAAGCAGAGGCTGGTTTAGAAAGGCTTCATCAATGTGCTGAAAAGGAATTACATACTTACATTGATGGAAATGCCTCTCAAGAGGAGTTCAATAATTTCAGAACAAAGTTGGCTGGTTTGACCACATATAATTCAACCCTTCTATAAAAGTTCTGATTTTTTTATTCGGGTTTATAAAATCTTGAAAAAAATAATTTTTTATTTTTTTATTTTGTTAAAATAAGTTCATCAAATATCTCAAAAAGCAATTATTGCAACATCTTCATCACCAGATGCAAGGCATTGTCTTGAAACATTTAATATGCTTGGGATAAATTCGCAAAATTTAATCTGTGTGTATATGATAGGGATGTAGCTTTAGAACAAGTAGAACAATTACAATATTACCTTCCAGGGAACAAATAGACTTACCACTTCAGATGCATCAGGAATGAATTCAATAAAAGATCCAACAGCCCTGTTCAAGATGATGCCAACATTATAACTGTTTCTAAAAAATCAAATTTAAAAAGAGAAATCATGACATAGAACATTACTTGAGGGCAGCCACTCTAACATTATTACTAGTCTCATCTTGTAGGCACTTGAGTAGAAGTGCTTGTAAATCAGCAAAATATGGTCAAAAAGAATCAACAATTGTCTCTGTTTAGGAGTTGAACAATATCAATGCCACCTGGCATCATAGAAACAGTTGACCTGGAATAACAGTGAGTTATAATAAGCTCATTGGATCAAAAAAAAATATAAATATTTAATAATCTGAAAGCACTTATGGGCACAAATCATGAGAAACTCAGTAAGGAAAGAAATCAGAGGTTTATATGGGGTTACAATTAATTACCTGAGTGATCCTATGTTTGAATTCAAGTTGAACATCATAAGATTTCTCTGTTTCTGTGATTTGAGTAGCATTGGTGGAAGGAGATTTTCCATTTACCTTCATGAAGCTTTGTAATCAACTCAACAACCACATCTACTTCCTCCATGTTTTTCCCACTACTAAAATTAGACAAAAAATGAAGAAGAAATACCTTTGTGATGGATCAGGGGAAGAGTATTTGCCAATGTTGTCGACACTTTAAGAAAACCTTCTGAACTAGTAAATAAAAAAAAATGTTGGGAAGTAACCACTTAAATGTATTAAGTATTAACATACCCCAGGAGTAGCATGATCATGCCTAGCATAAAAAAATCTCATGTAAAGCCAAAAATACATACAATATTATACTTTCTTATTGTTAGGGATTTTGATTTTGATTTCAACTACAGATACAACCTCTAGTTTGATGCATCAAGATCTTGTTAGCAAAATAAAGGATTTAAGTATTAAAATGTGTTGTTGTCTAATGTCTATTTAATCACAACAATATTACTTTACAACATGATAATTTGATTAGTCCACGAACGAGTTTTTAGTCATATTTTCTTTTAATTGTCAAGTAATATGAGCAAATAACTAACTTTGTACTCTTACATAGACTATCATACGGTGAATTTGGACATTAATTCAAGGTGCCTGCTAACTTCCCTACTGTACTTTAGACATGGCCAACATATTAGTTCAAAGAAAAAAGGATGAAGTTAACCATATACAATGAACTCTTAAAGAAAATTTTACACTTGATACAAACCAACGAAATGATTTCTCAAAGAAGAATAGATAATATAGAAGTTGTAAGTGCAGATGTGAACCAACAGATCAAAACATGGACATAGAAGAAAAAACATGAAAACAGGGGATAACAAGATTGATTGGAGCCTTAGCTTTATTAGGTGGAGAAACTAGTTCTGGAATTAAATTACAAAGCAACGCATCTTCTAATTTATACTAACATAAAAAGAATTTGACTCAAACTAAAATATTGGAAGATAAACTACTGAATAAAAAAAAATTCCGAAAATGCCCCTTCCTCTTATTCTAAATTACTCCAACAGAAGGATCATACTCAATATTCAACGTAAATGGATTGTTGTTAACTTAATTAGGAGTTAATACAACTTACTATCACAATCATCGATGGAAACAAAATGGGTAAAACCTTCTAGCATCAACATCTGCTGCCAGAAAGCAATTAGGGCAACCATAAATGTCGTGATCAAACCCCCAGCAAAAATAAACAAAACAAGGAATATTCAATATACATACATTGCACAAAATAAGGTTTCAAATGAGCGAGCATAAATCTACAATAACCAAATGGTGAAGAAAAAAATATAAAAAGAAATGAAAGTGACTAACCCAATTCACTGATGCAACATTGAGTCCCAAGTGCAAATTTGGATCAAAAGAAAACCTGAAATTAATGAGGATAAAAAGTTTGCTCCACAAATTTACTTCCAAGAATATAATGATAAAAGAAAATAAAGAAGTGGGATTATGAAGAATTGAAGATAACCTATACTTATTGCTGACTTTTTCCTCGCAAGTTCTGTTAAGTCTGCTCAGATGGTGGATCCAAGTTATTCATGGTTATATAAAACTTTGGAATTAGTTGGAGGGACCTTTGATTCATATTCAGGGGAAAAGATATTAAAGATGGAAGGAGTAATTTCAAAGATCCCTGGGATCTTTGACATCACAAACAAACTGGGGAAGATAGGAAATTCACCTAGGTGTTCATGGCCTGTATTCAGAAAATGCTCTGCATCAACTCAAGACTTTCTTACTATATGAACAAATGAACACCAAGGAAGTAAGTATTGCTGGACCCAAATACCATTTAAGCAAGAATTTTATAGGTTTTGTCTAGAAGGCCCATGTGTGTTTGCGATGGAAAAGAGGGGGGGGGGGGGGGGGGGGGGGGGGGGGGGGGGGGGAGAACGAACTAGGGTTAGAATCGAAGGAAATATCTTTAGAATTAAAGACAAAATTTAGTAAATAACCTACGTGAGCAGCTTTGTACGAATATATGGTAGCATCTTCTAAGTCGTTTGCTTTGATTTTCTTAGATCAACTTTTTCTCCAAACCCCTATTAGTTGTTGGTACCGATTTTAGGTTTTCACATGGAACAACAAAGAGGTGGTGATGGAGAAGATGGTAGGGCGGCGATGGATGGTAGGAATGGTGGTGATGGTCGTTTGTGTTGAGGTTGCAGGTGGTGAGATGTAGGTGCGGCGACCATGGTGGTGGTGCAAGATAGTGGTGGTCTGTGGAAGGAAGAGACGCAGTGGCGGGGTTTTTAATTTTTTGAATTTCATTTCCCCCCGCTATTAAAAAACGAAAACGCGTGCTCATAGACTAAAATTATAAAGCGACAGGGTAACACGAAACGCTTTTTAGGATAGGTGCGCTCCGTGTTTTTTTTTTGGTTGGACACTAATTTTAGGGTGCACACAAATGCGTGTCCTCTATCCTTTAAATTTTGCAAAACCGACATTATTTTTTAGGGCACGCACAAATGCGCGTCCTCTATCAGTGCGTGTCGTTGTTTGCGCGTCATTAAAGGGTTGTTTTCTAGTAGTGTGTGATAATATGTTGTTATGCCTAGTGATTTGTAGATCTTTTTGTTTGCTTGTTAACTGATTATATGTTTATCTATTATGTATATGTCGACATATTGTGTTGGGTTGAGGTTGTACTACTTCGTGATGTAGCCAACAAACCCTGGAGCATTCCAGTTATAAGCCGAGGGTCGGGCGGGGCATGCCAGACTCATACTGAGAACTCAAGTGCATTCCATATACGATCTATAGACCGGGTGGTATGCCAGACTCGTACTGAGGGCTTGAGAGTATTTCAGTCCGGTGACTGATTGGGTCAGGGAGCAAGCCAGACATAAGTTGTGGGCCCCAGGGGCAAACCAGACTTATGTTGTGGGCTCATGGAGCAAGCCAGACATAAGATGTGGGCCCTGGGGTAAGCCAGACTTATGTTGTAGGCTTAGGATCAAGTCAGATATGAGTTGTGTGCCGATAGGCAAGACAGACTCATATTATGGGCTCAGGGGTAATCCAGTCTTTTAGTTGTGGACCCAGTACATGTTATTTGAATATGTTATATGTTCATGTGTTGGTACTTTGGTGGAACTTACTAAGCTTCGTGCTTATAGTTTTTTTATGGTTTCATATTCTTCAGAGGACCGTGGCAAGGCGAATCCATGACCGTATACATCCTTGGTTTCACTACTGATTGGATCTTGGGTGACTCTCATTTTAAATCATGTTATGGAAACAATGGTTTTGTAAACACTTTTATTAGTAAATGGGTTGTTTTGAAAAGTTTAAATTGGTTGAGATTTTCAAGGATGTTACAGGTTGGTATAAGAGCCTTGGTTTGAGTGAATTGAAGGAACACTTGTGTGAATCCAGTCTCAAACCAAGGAAATAAAAAGGTTTTAAAAATGATTTTCAAAATTGTTTTCAAAATAATAAAGAAAGGATGTTATGTGTACGATCAGCCAGAGTCAGTAAGTAGACCCCAAATTACCACACTATTATTTAATATTGTGATATGTTAGAACAGTACGCTAGAGATAGGCTAAGGATCTTCAGGAATTGCATGATAGAATTTTCTGATTATATGATGCATCATACCCTAGGTTTCTTTCTTATATGAAATTGACATCATTGTTGTAGTTGCTTGGTGCATGCATCATAGTTGTACATAACTAAGATTCTATGGCCTGAGAGTGTTTGGTTTGGCCTTATTTCCTATTCTTGTTTGATGAAGGGCTTAGTGTAGAATTAAGTGTTCAACTGTCCATAGGATCCAGTGTTATGTATGATTAGCATACACGAGTGTTGCAGGGTTAGTGGAAGTTTCATGAGTGGGTGCAGTTCATGGGCGGATAGAAAGTGGAATGACTAGCCACTCTTGAGAGAGTGAGGGCAGAGCGAATGTGCATCCGAGATGATGGGAGATAGCGATCAAGAATTTCATATGAGGATCTGCCTGATTTTATAGTATCTTAGTGTCAGTCGTCTCCGTTGCTCGAATGTTGCTTGCTTTGTGGGGCTCGTGTTGATGTGAGCCAACTATCAAATGCATACATTAAGTTACATGCAATGGAGGTTAAGTAATCTTAGAGTGAAGGATTTGGCCCTATTGTGCAACTCTCGTTTAAGTCTAAGCGTTGTATGGTCGGGTCCTTTAGTCGAAGGATTATTTAAGTTTTGTTGCATGTAATTGTATTCATAAAGTGGTTGGCTGAAATTGATTGGAGCCCTTCAGTAGTTGATGGTAGAGGAGGTGGGGAAATCCTAGGAGAACCTAGGAAGTATTTTAGTGCGGTCGTTTCATTGTTGAGCAGGTATCGGGAGGATATTTTTGAGTAGGTATTAGAGGACCTGAGATGATTCTTGAGGAAAGTATGGATAGGTGTGGAAGGTAGTATTGGGCCCATACTAATGGAAGCACATGATCCATACTTGAATCGAGGAGATTTTCGGGGATTCTAAGGGCTGGTCGGGAGAGATAGCATGGTTTTTTACCATGATTCATGGCAGTAGTTTAGTATCTGTCGATCTTGTGGTAGGGTTGCTCGAGTCTGTGCATTCGAGTCGTAGGGCTCAAGAAGGAAACGGTTGTTATGATCGGCTAGAGGACTGCAGCTGGAAGTGAGTGGTTGATTGATGGTTTGGAATGCCGCCATCTGTGGCAGGGGTGATGCCCTTTCATTTCTCCGATTTCGGAGAATGAGTGAGCAGGCCTGCGACTTTTAGAGTTAGTATGTAACATTTTCACCCATCGTAAGATTTTGAAATATTTGATGGATCAGAAGAATATGAATATATGACATAGGAGATGTTTAGATGTGTTAAAAGATAATGACTGCGAGATTTTGTATCATCCCGGGAAGACCAATGTGGTGGCCCGATGCTTTGAGCTGTAAGACGGCGATGTTGGATTAAGTGTCTAAGCCCATAACTGTAATGGGTATGTACTTGACCCGAGAGTAGCATGGTCCATTTGGGTTGCATTCACCAGAACAAT